CACACACACACACACACACACACACACACACACACACATACACACACACACACAAGTATTATATTATTATATTATAAACACCCCAAACGAACCCGTACACAAACTACTAGACAATGTTAAAGTACCTGGTGATTGATAGACACCAACGTTGTTGCTGCAATTATTTTGTTGGTGGCGGTTTGTGTCAATGGGTTTCTTTGTTGTTTTGAAGAGTTTTACGGCACTCTCGACTGCATAAGGTCATGTCATGTGTGTACGCAGTCTATGGGTTTAGTTTCTAGGTTTTCTTGTCGGTCTAATAATCAGTTGTTTGTTTTTAATACACACCAATATGCACCGAGATAAAAAACAAATCAGGTAGCAATATTGCAGTAAATGATGTCAACAGTGATGAAAGTAGGGATGTTAGTTTTTCTGTATCAAAATGATGTTGTCATCCTTGTGATCCATATTCAATGTTAGAGAATTTAAACTATGGTGACATGTACATTCAATAAATAAACAGTATTTCGAAGCATAGTATCCAAACGAGGAGTTTATTTTATCAAAATTATATAATAATAATAATAATAATAATAATAATGGATTGCATTTATATAGTGCATATCCCCTAATGCAATGCTCTATGCGCTTAACATGATACAATATTATGGATTTACAAATCAATTTTATAGATACATAGTGTTACATACTCGTGCAAACACATATTCACTCACGCACGCACCACACACACATACATACACACATACACACATACGTACATATGCACATACGCACATACAAACTCACAACGATCTACAGCTTGGATGGATTCTGTCTAATCGAAATATGATAAAATAGAAATGCTCTTAGTTTCTTCTTTAAAATTTCCAGATTTTCTGCTTCTCTGATAGTTTTTGGAAGCCTATTCCAAACAAGTGGGGCAAAATATGAAAAAGAACGTTGGCCATTATGATTTGTAATTTATTTTAGGCTTAACAAGGGTTGTTTTGTCACTTGATGATTTGAGCGTTCTAGGGGGTACATAGGGTGTTAAAAGCTGTTTTAGATAGTCCGGTGATAAATCATTTAAGCACTTGTAGCAAGTTAAACAGATTTTATATATGATACGCTCTTTCACTGGGAGCCAGTGTAAT